TGAAGTTTTCCAACCTGGAGGTGCTGGTGCTGCAGAACGTTTCATGGGGTGGCCCTGGGGGTGGGTGTGGGGTGACTGTGGGGTATCTATAGGGTGTCTATGGGGTGTCTATGGGTCTGGCCGTGGGGCTGCCCCACTGATGGCCCCACATCCTGCCCCATAAGTGTCTTGGTGGGTAAAGAACAGGAACTTAGAGGTGCTGGTGGTGCAGAACGTTTTGTAGGAGGGACTGATGGAGACTCAGGGGTGACTGTGGGGTGACTGTGGGGTGACTGTGGGGTGTCTATGGGGTGTCTATGGGTCTGGCCGTGGGGCTGCCCCACTGATGGCCCCACATCCTGCCCCATAAGTGTCCTGGTGGGTGAAGAACAGGAGCTTAGAGGTGCTGGTGCTGCAGAACGTTTGGTGGGGTGGCTCCAGGGGTGGTTGTTGGGACCCATGGGGGTATCTATGGGTTATCTATGGGGTGTGTGTGAGGTCTCTATGGGTCTGGCCGTGGGTCTGCCCCACTGATGGCCCCACATCCTGCCCCATAAGTGTCTTGGTGGATGAAGTTTTGCAACCTGGAGGTGCTGGTGGTGCAGAACGTTTCATGGGGTGGCTCCAGGGGTATCTGTGGGGTGTCTGTGAGGTATCTATGGGGTGTCTATGGGTCCGGCCGTGGGTCTGCCCCACTGATCGCCCCACATCCTGCCCCATAAGTGTCTTGGTGGGTGAAGTTTTCCATCCTGGAGGTGCTGGTGGTGCAGAACGTTTGGTGGTGGGGACTGATGGGGATCCATGGGGGTATCTGTGGGGCATCTATGGGGTGTCTATGGGTCCGGCCGTGGGTCTGCCCCACTGATGGCCCCACATCCTGCCCCATAAGTGTCTTGGTGGGTGAAGTTTTCCAACCCAGAGGTGCTGGTGGTGCCGAACGTTCTGTAGGAGGGACTGATGGAGACTCAGGGGTGTGTGTGGGGTGACTGTGGGGTGACTATGGGGTGTCTATGGGGTGTCTATGGGTCCGGCCGTGGGTCTGCCCCACTGATCGCCCCACATCCTGCCCCATAAGTGTCTCAGTGGGTGAAGTTTTGCAACCTGGGGTTGCTGCTGGTGCAGAACGTTTGGTGGAAGGGAGTGATGGGGACCCAGGGGGGTATCTGTGGGGTATCTATGGGGTGTCTATGGGTCCGGCCGTGGGTCTGCCCCACTGATGGCCCCACATCCTGCCCCATAAGTGTCTTGGTGGGTGAAGTTTTCCAACCCAGAGGTGCTGGTGGTGCCGAACGTTCTGTAGGAGGGACTGATGGAGACTCAGGGGTGTGTGTGGGGGGGGGAGAATGGGGGGATGTACGGGATGTCGTCCTTTTTCTCCTCTTCCTCCTTCTCTTCCTCTTCTTTCTCCTTCTCTTCTTTCTCTTTCTCCTTTTCTTTCTGCTCCTCTTTCTCCTTCTCTTTTTCCTCCTTGTCCTGTTCCTCAATAAGTGTCTTGGTGGATGAAGTTTTGCAACCTGGAGGTGCTGGTGGTGCAGAATGTGCTGTGGGGGTGGTTGTTGGGACCCATGAGGTGGTTCTGGGGTTATCTATGGGGTGTGTGTGAGGTCTCTATGGGTCTGGCCGTGGGTCTGCCCCACTGATTGCCCCACATCCTGCCCCATAAGTGTCTTGGTGGGTGAAGAACAGGAACTTAGAGGTGCTGGTGCTGCAGAACATGCTATGGGGGGGACTGATGGGGATCCATAGACGTATCTATGGGGTGTCTATGGGTCCGGCCGTGGGTCTGCCCCACTGATGCCCCCCCCCCCTGCCCCATAAGTGTCCCGCCGTGTGAAGTACGCCAGCCTGGGGGTGCTGGTGGTGCAGAACGCCTCGCTGGTGCTGAGCATCCGCTACGTGCGCACGCTGCCCGGGGAGCGCTTCCTGCCCAGCACGGCCGTCGTCGCCGCCGAGGCCATCAAGGGCTGCGCCTGCCTCCTCCTGCTGCCGCTGCAGCACCGCGGTGAGGGGGGGGCACTTGGGGGAGAT